GTTCCATGCATTCCAAATCAATATTGAAATCTGATATCAAAGTCTAGGGTTGTCTGTGCTTGAGGCTATGTAAGAAGATACACTAGCTACAGATTTTTCTTTTTAGGATACCAGAAAAGGAATCCTTTCCTTTATCCAAACAAAGTTGACCAACAAAACGGTCAAAGATAACCACTGAACGAATATGACTGGTAGCAACTTCAGCAGCACTCCCTTCGGCCGGCTTAAGTCAGCACCATCAAATCTAGCGAGAAGCCATGTCCTCAAATTAACATAGACCATTTATTATTGGACATGCGGAACAGAGGTAAACACTTGCGCACTATCGAAATATTGACTCTACTCGTCTTTGGTCCATATGTGACCCCAAGCTTTAGTGTTTGTGTATTGACCTTACACTCTCTGATTTCCCCCTCATCTGTGGCAATTGCAGCTTGAGAAGGGAGCGCATGAAAGTGGTCCTGTGTGATCCAAACGGAGATACTTGATCCGAAGGTGAAATATGAAATATTCGCTGAAATAGATCAAGCATGCTTGACCATGAATTAATAAAAATTCATGAAGTTAGTGTGAAGTATGAAAGGGTGATATATCTTTTTTAATTTGTTTAACTAATGGCAAGGGAATAAGTTATAATTTGTTTTCTTCTTCCAGATTTTCTTCTCCTACATAAAAGTATACATAACAAAGTTTGCTTTGACGTAAAAACTAGTCGATAGCATTTAAACTATTCATAATTACTGCATTGTGATCAATTCCATAGAGTGTGATTGTCATAAAACCATGACTACAGGTACTGTAGTTTGAAAATTAATCTTTTTCGATAGCATATTTGTTTTTCCTACACACCACTCCCATCACTGTAAGATCAGAGAAACGCTTATCTGGGTACCCTAAAACATAAAACTTTCATATGCTTGCATACAAACGTATGCCTGATTTTCAAGTCTTCATTTGCCCTCGTGTATTATCGATCGGCAATGAAAGTTCATATCCAGGGTTAAACTCAATTAGTGATGGTGGATTTACTTGGATTGGAGGATTAAAAATAGTCCCTTGATTACTGGATCAATAATTCATCTTGGCCTGGACAAACGAGGGACAGGGATATACCAACGTATGGGACAGTATGAAGATGAAAAAGGTGATTATTGGGTTCAGTGCTTAAAAAGTTCACCTAACTCTTCAAAATTTCATTTCATTTTGAAAGTATACAATTACGTCTATGACTGAATTTCATTCCTCTATATTAAGCTCAAAATAATTTCACTAAATATTCAATTACTGTGTTCTAATTATTGATTTTCATATACCCTTTCTCCAACTATTATTCAAAGTTACTCCACCTATCCACCTCCCTCCCTCTCTCTCTCTCTCTCTCTCCTTCACTCTCTATATTTATTTTATCAGTTTTGTTTACATCTTGTTGCTTAATGTCTACTATTCTTTATTGTTATTCTTACAGCGGCAGCAGAACCACAATGAGCTTTTTGTGTAGATTTTGACATTATCCCCTCCAATATCCAGTACTCTCATAACAAAGATTGGAAACCTAAGTCCCCATTTCTATTCAGTTATTCAACCCTTAATTTTCTTAAGTGGTAATAAATCTGCTAAAACCCTGTCCTTGATTCTGTCTGTCTGAAACAAAAGGAAAAACAATGTCTCAGTATCTTGCCTTGCATGAAAGCCAGTAGATCCTTCAAGCAGTGATTCGACAGCGACAGGCTCCTAATCAAGAGGAATCCCAATTCGGTTTCTAGCTCCTTTTCCCATATAAATATTTTATTGGGGGAAAGTAACTAATATCCATTCAATTCAGCTAAAGCGGTAAGACGAATAGAAGCATGTTCAACCTCCCAATTTCATCCAATTTATTGTGAGAGCATCTTCAATTTGTTTCTCCATCTTCCCTCAAATGTTACTCCGTCTCAATCTTCAGATCAAATGCTTCTCTTTTAATCAATTTCAAGTGACTCCATCAATCACAAACAAAAGACTAGAATATGAAGATAAAGTATATTGAGCTGCATTCGGTGGACAATTTGAATCAGTCTTCAAATGGTACATGCAATAGCAAGCATTATGAACTTTTATGGAAATATGTCACTTTTGACTGAAAGCACCTGGTTCATAGTAAAGATACAAATGAACAAAAGTGAAAGATTAAGAATTCATTATTTGATGTCAGTAGATTAATCTTCCAATTGAAATCTTTTTGTCTTCTCTCTTCTCCACTTTTAAGTTCTGGATTTTACATGTAGGTAAACATGCTCTCATTCCATTCTATTTCATATACACAATTTCTGCAATTCCGAAAACACAATTTCTTGATGTATATAATTTAAATCTAACCATAGCTTTGGTGTGTTCACATAACACATGTTTTTAAAGAAGTATTGTAGACCTTGCAGAATTGCAATTACAAATACTCCTACAGGTAGCTCTGGATATAAACCAGTGCAATCAAATTTGATTTCTTGGATCAGAAAAACAAAATAATTTCCCTAATGGATAGATCATTCCTAATGAATAAACCTCTTAAATATTAATTTCTGAAGAGAGATGCTATTCTCCTTCCACAATTTTATTGTAGCTAAGACAGCTACAGGCATAAGGATTTAAAGCACATATTTGTTCTATTTAACTTTCCTATTCAAAAAAATATTTCAGTTGCAGTGCCCTCAGGCTATCAATCAGAGACCAATTACAGTATAACTTCAGTTGAGATTCGATTTCTAGAAAACAGAATCATTTTTAAATGAAAACGGCCTCAAAAAATGTTGCCTTTACTTGACTAATACATGTGCTCAGCGTTTTCATATACATGTACATTATTGGGTAAAATAACAAAAAATATTTGAAATATTTCATACGTGTCCTAAAAAATGTGCAGTTAAGCAAAAACAAACACTTTTATTATGGCCACAGTAGTACAAATTAAACAAAAAAAGATTTATTTTAGTGTGAAAAGACATAAAAATAATGGATCATCATAATAATAGCTAAATAGTTATGGGTAGAAGATATAAAAGCACCACAACATTCATTAGTAAATGTGAAGTAGGTGCAATGGCAAATAAGGAATGAAGTGCTTTTGATAAGAGGAAAGTATAAACATTGCTACTTTGATGATAAACCTTAGAGTTGATACTGAAATAAACCATTATCAAGCTAATTCCAAGAGAGAAAACTCATTAAATCGGATGGAAATACGAGGGGTACATGGCGCTTGAATGAGTGACCATAAAACATCCTGAGGAACGAGGAGAAGCCCTCTTGTCAAGTACCAGGTCTGATTTGCAACGTTGCAGTACGTGTTTTACAGCCTAATATGAAGACTGCTCTTCTGATTAAAAAATGTGTGACTTCAAAATTATGACCTAGCGAGTTTGCCACTTGATTGTTGAAATGTCACATCAAAATTTATGATGCAATCTAGTCAAATGGTGAAAATGTTTATAATATGTCAAGGATTGAAAGTAATAACTTTTCCTCTGTTCAAATTCAAATCGAATGGATCAAAACAAAAAACAACTTTCCTTCTAATGATTTAAGCCTTCATAAATAAATAACTAAGTGGCTTGGACTAAAGTGTTTGAAGAGCAATATTTGCAAATATGTGAAAATCATGACTTTATAAAATTATTTAAAAAAATGCTCACTGAGATTATATAAGAATCATGATATCTCTGATGAGTCCAAATCAATTCTCTTTCAAACTCAACATCTAGAAGAAGAAAAAAACCATGATACAGTATATCAGACATTGCCCAGCCAACTGCATAAATCAGAATCCATATCTAATTTTCAAGTCGGCTCCTTGAAAAATTTCAAACAATTCACTATTCAATGACAAACATCACAGCGGCCACATGTCACAGATCATTGAGTCCTACCCCGCGATTCCAGCCCCATTCTTCTGTAACACTAGAAGCCCTCCAAACCAGTCATTATATCTAGAGCATAAAGAAGAAATGTTCTGTGCTATGCCAAACACAAACTGCAGCCTCCCTCCATCCCCTCCATCCCCCCCCCCCATTGCTCTTTGAGGTGAAATTCGATCAGTGGTTTTCAACTTGACTTGACTATAAGGATGGTGAAGTATGTTATATATCCATCATCGAAGGGGACTCAATGATTTCAAACGAGGACACGACGGCATAGATATGTGGTCGATGACTGGAGAGATATGTGGTCAGTGATTCCTTGATACTATGTGGAGAGATTCTCATATTATATTCCGCTTCTTTATACATCCCAGGTGACGATAACTCATATCAGATTTGGTGACAAGCCACATTCATGTTGAATCCCTTGCAGCTGCGCTGTAAAACTACCCTATATTTCACAGTGTTTTTGCAGATATTTACGTGAGATTAATTTTGTTTTGGTAAGGAGAAAAGAGAAATACTATAATCAATCAAATGCAATCAAGATTCTTTATCATTACACCTGTTTCCTTATATAGACTGAAATTATCTCAGACATCGATGGAAACTGGATATCCTATTAACCAGTCTTCTACTAAATATTTAATAGCAGCATATAAGATGGATAAGGAGCATCTTTGCTATCTGTTGAGAGCCAAAATGGAATTATCTCTCGCCTCTGTGTTAAATGATACCACTTAACACCTTTCTGGTTCTTAACAGATAATGTGCATTCAGTAAAAACCCTGATCTAAATATAGACAGAAACATTTCAACATGCTCAATGTGAACACCTCCCAGGTGTTTTAGAATCCAATTATCCAATTAAGAATCTATAGAACAAATGTAGAAAGAACTTTTTACATTCAAAGTGTGAACACCTCCCATGTGTTTTAGCAACCTCTTAGTCAAACAATATACCAGAGAACAAATTGGTAGTGCACACTGATGACGATGAGCAGCGGAACAAGAAAATCATCTCCATTACAGGACAGACAAGACAAGAGAAGGGAGAACAAATGGGTGAATAACCCCCTGAGGGAGGGCATCTTGTACTGAGTGTCTTACCGATGAAGAAATTAGACCCTGGTCTAAGGAAGCTATCGGGTACGAGGAATGGCTGATCAGTGGGTTGTTCAATCACAGCACGGCCTCCCATTGTGTAGCAGGAGTCAAAGTCTACCTGTGAGACGAGGTAGGGTTGTATGTGAAGCTTCCCTGGATGCCCGGACAGGAATCTGGATAAGGAAAAGAGAGAATAAAAAGGAGAAAAAAGAGACATGAATGAATATGCAAGAAAAGATTTTATAACACATACAATTCTGATTTTGGTTGAGTTACAAATGTTGTGCCACCATTGGAGCCAGATGAGCAGTACATTTTTGTAAATCATATGAGGTAACATCCTTCTGGCTCCAAACAGATAATATAGCATACTATGGTATACTTCTATATTCATGACTTATTCTAGTGCCATCTATGATTCATATATATATATTAATACAATAAGTGTTCATGTCTTATTCATTGGGATGACTAAGTGATATTATCACATAATTATTTCTACATGATATTGGTTCCTGACTCCAGAGTATTAGAAAGGTGTTATTTCTTTACCACTGAGCTGAAGTCCTTTCTACTTCTAAATAGATGGAATAAGGCTCAGAGAGGGACATGTATAGAGGACAAATAGCTCAAAGTGTTCAAGGCTGCAGATGCAATGAACAGGAGAGGAAAGAGGAAGTGTTCTTAAAGCTAGAGCACTCTATCCAAGAATGCTTATCTAATAAAGATGTGAACACACCCTTACCACTATAAAAAGTTGGTAAATCTCTCATTAACATCAATGAATGTTCAGTTTATCCATAATGATAGGGATTGTGAACACAAAACAGATAATCCAGGAACAGACTCAAGTTTACCTTAAACAAGAATAACATTTTATTGTATGGTACACTGAAAGAAAAATAATGTTCTGCCCCTTCAAGCAATATTATGCATTACCACTCATTTCCCTCTTGCAGTAATTATCGGTACATGAAGCAGGAGATAGAAGAGCATTAGCTCAATTGAAAATGAAAAAAAAAGTTAATGCCCTTCTGGCGCCAAACAGATGACATTGTGCATTGACTCATTTAACAAAGGGTGAATGACCCTTTTTACTCTATCAAGACATTTCATTGAACCAAGTAAAGGAGTTATAACTCTCAAGTTTCCTAATGATTGAAAGTCAATCTAATGGACCAGCGTACCAAAGCACTTTTACTACAATGAAGATGTATTTTGGATATCCTCATATAAGAATAGAAGGATCCATCATCTCTCTGATCATCAATGATTGAGAACATCAAGATGGTGGATTGGACATGTAGGAGGTATATATCAATCCTGCAAATCAAAAGTGCCCTTTTTACATATATATCATAAGCTACAAACAGTTGAAGGTCGTACAATGAACTGCATGAAACAAGTTCAACTGGAATGTCTACTGGTAGCGTGATTTAGATTCACACATTGTTATGAACCTGGAATTGCACTTCTGCAATATATTAGTAGTTAAGACATCTCTGAGGCCAAGCTCAAATCTAAAGCCAAGTTCAACAATGCCTAATTAGGCAGATTTCAATCCATGATAAAGTGGACAAATTAGCACAGATAAAGACTAATCCTTATTATAATAGCAATAACAATATAGTGTACTTATATTGTGATATCTATCTAGTAAAACCATTCTGAGGCGTATTAATCATACTTGGATGTAGAATGCTTACAACTTTTATAATCCATGAAAATCCATGCAAGCAGGGGGGAAATATGTTAAAGGCAAACGTTCATCATTGTTTCTGATCTACAATTTACATGTATTCCAACATGTTAGCAAATGTGATCGTGCAGAAACTAGGCCATATTTCATTAACTAATTGCTTCTTTTTGTTTTGAGGATATACTTTGGCCTTGTTTAGGATAACAACATAATAACAGACTAGGAATAAATACCTGTGAAAACTATCACATAGTGTATCTCTCACTATACAGTGACAGTGTCACAGTTAAATATGTATGTACGTATGTGTAATTGAAGAAAGTGATATGACCATTCACGTGATAGTTTACTACATGTATATAGCGCCATTTGTAATTGTGAGATCAACGACTTCACAAATACTGAAATATGATATAATCCGGCTTTGCCTTTTCAATAATACATTAGATATCTATCGACTTTGAATTTTAAATTTGCTTGTCTACAGCTCAAAAATGACTTAAACATCATAAATGGGGAAGACTGTATTTCGTCGCTGTTTTCACGAAGTGAGGGTAGTGAAAAAAAATTGCATTCACCTTGCGTTCCGATTTTCCTCACTACCGTCACTTCGTGAAAATAGGGACGATTTATGTCAAGAAAGTTACAACATTAGCAAATTATACCTCCGGGAGGATAAATGGATAAATTCCACAAAAGAGTGTTTGAGCGTCAGGGATGCAATAAGGAAATATTCTACACATTCCTTTTGTCATTACTGCACGAACATCATTATCCTGGCTTTCACAGCAGATTTGCCAAGGTGCTTCAGCTTTCACAGAACGTCTTCCTATCAGGCAGGCATACGCAATTACTGTACCTTGATGGAGATAGGAGAATTTAGATTAACTTCTTGCCAAATGACACAAGTGCTGAGCTGGGATTTTGTTGACAGTAATTTTAAGGGGATACATTCTAAGATAGAGATCTTGGTATAATGTAAAGTAATAATCAGAACATTCCTAGCATAATCTCCCCTCAAATTGGTGATCAGGGTCATTATGAAATTTGAGAAACCCGGCGGCAATTCATCATTTATATGGTACATGGAATTGTCATCTAACATATAACAACCCTATAATAATAACGCTCATATTACCATATTTTTCTCAAATTTCCAGAGAAATGGTCTGAGACCACATGTTATGAAAGTCCACTCAAACTTAAATTGTTAATACAAGTATCTATGATATTGATTTCAAGAAAAATGTATGTCATGTATTTCTATGCTTGGTTTCTATTTGAAAAAATTGATACTGCTTCAAACTACTCGATATTAATGCCTGTGAATATACATGCATGTACACGGTGGTACAATCAATGTCAGATAAGGTTGATTGTTCTCCATAACAAAATATAATATTCAATTTCAATTTCTGCATGAAATCAAAATTAATGTATTATTTCTTTCAGATGTAACAAGGCTATACAGGTATGTTCGTAATCAAGTTTCAACAGCATACAATCATTAAAGCTTGTAGATTAAAAGGGTTTTTCCCCAGATCGTCCCATCTCTTTCTAAAAAACTAGACACCATTTTGTACTAAATGACCATGAATGATGCCTAATGGAGGCCAAAGTGATACAACAATCCATCAGCTCTTTGAGCAAAACAGCATGCCATTTTATAAAGATACATGGCTACAAGCAGGGACATAGGCATGACATTTCAAATTGAAACAGGGAAAGGGAGAGGGACAAAACTGGCAATACGACAATTCAAATAATTTGATAGTAAGCAAGTTTTAGCTATTAGGGATAGTGATCAGTTGTGTGTATTGATGAAAAACGACACCCTTTTCCATTTTCTCATATCCTTTTTAAGTAACAGTATTTTTGTATCTTTTGATAGCATGCTTTCCTAATTCCTTCTAAAGAAAAAGAAAGGCCCTATTATTGCTAATAAACGTCACTTGTGATTCTCTTTTCATTTCAAGAAACCTGGTTCAAGAACGGCCACTATCAGAACATATCAGAATCGGGAGCAAATAAATATAATTCTAAAGATAGACATCAACTCTGAACTTCCCAACTACAGTCTGCCTGGTACGTCTCTCTATTTCATCATCATGGTTGCATGTACTTTCTGCTCTACTTAGCGTATTGGTAAGGGAGAAGTTTCCAGTAAAGATCGATGCATCCGTTGCTGAAGACAGAATGGCGGACTTGATGTTATCATTCCTAGGCACCCTTTTTATTTGACAACCTCACGAGCAAAATCATTATTGTATTCAACCGGAAATTATCCTCCACTGGCCACGAAAAGTTTCTTCCTCTTTTTCCATGACTGCATTATCAAGTTATGAGCTTTAAACTATCTGGCTACAAGCATTCTCCACCTCCATATACATGTATCAGCAAGGTACATTGGTACTAGGACACGGAGCTAACAATGAATACAAGGACCTTCGTTGCCAATTTAGTTCTGGTTTGATTGACTTTATTTTGGAATTTCCCTATGGTATCAACAACATGGGAATTAGACTACTTGGGTCAAATCAATTTTTATCACATTATCCATATCATATATGAATTCTAGAGTTTATTCAATGCAAGGTGCTGCTGCATGCACGAAAAGATAGTTTCTTCTCAAAGTTTCTTCTTCTTTTTGGGGGTCATTCACTCCTTCAAAATCAATGAAGCCTTTTTAATAGATTCATCACAATTTTGTGTGGAATGATAAAGACATATATTATTTTCATTAAGTTTATACACATTATCATTTATAAAAGATTTAAATTAAAAATGTAGTCTTTCTTTTGAAAAGTTAAAATTCATAATTTCTACCATAAATTCAGAATACTGTACATGTATATCAATGGATGACTTTTAAAAAGTAATCATAATTTTCTAAAGGTTAACATCCTCTTGAAATGCAAAACTTCTTTATCTAAATAAATGGTTTATTCATTACTTTGGACAAAATACACTGTTTTATTAAAGAAAAATTGTTTCTTGTTAATTGTGCATGCTGCCGGTAACAGACTAAGCAGAGTTTGCATCAGATCATTTTACAAAATGTAAAAGTTCCTTTAACCTACATCTACAACTAGTTTATAAATGCACATGAGAAATGTAATCTAGGATACATTGCCCCTGGCGAAGTACATACAGCTCATCCAATATTTAGGGTGATCGGGTGTGGAATTGAATTCTGCTCAATTGCAATTTACATCTAGCCCTGTGCACAATTTTTGGGATTCCTCATTTTCCAAAAGTTCAAAAGCATTATAAACATTCATGGCATTGCACAGCTTTTTACAATTTCTGTATGTGTTCAAAGTAATTTATTCCGGCATGTTTTTGCTTTTACACAGGAAATTAAATTTCAACTATAATAATCAAGGTACTCCATTAGCAGTACCTGTTCAAATAAAAATAGACTCTCTTTCTCTCTCTCTCTCTCTCTCTCCCTCTCTCCTTGCGTGTAAGTCATGTTTGGTGATCATGTAATGG